TAGATAAGGAACTGCCAAAAGTTCGAGCAGGATTTAGAAGAAGCCATGCTGATTTCAGATGGATCCTGGCTGAATGTAAGGAATATCAGAAGAATGTCTATTTGTGCTTTATTGACTATGCAAAGGCGTTTGACTATGTGCATCATGACAAGTTGTGGCTGACACTGAGAAGAACGGGAATCCCAGAGCACTTGACTGTGCTCATGTGGAACCTCTACCTGGAGCAGGAGGCTGTTGTGCGAACAGAGCAGGGGGGCACTGCATGGTTTGGAATTTGGAAGGGAGTGCAGCAGGGTTTCATTCTCTCTCCATAACTATGCAATCTGTCAATAACCTGCATTACGCAGATGACACAACCTTACTTGCTGAAAGTGAGGAGGACTTGAAGTACTTGTTGCAGAAGATCAAGGAATACAGCCTTCAGTATGGATTGAGTCTCAATATCAAGAAAACAAAGATTCACTGGACCAATAGGCAGTGTTATGATGGATGGAGAAGTGACTGAAACTGTTAACAACTTTTTCTTGCTTGGATCCACAATTAACATGCTTGGTACGTGCAGTCAGGAAACCAGGAGATGCATTTCACTGGGAAAATCTGCAGTTAGGGATCTTTCCAAATTATTGAGGAGCAGTGAGGTCAGTTTGAGGACTAAGGTGCTTCTGATTCAGGTCACGGTCTTTCTGATTACTAGCTATGCATCTGAGACCTGGACAATGAATAGGGATGACAGAACAAGAACTGATGTCTTTGAGCTGTGATGTTGGAGAAAATCACTGAACATCCTATGGACGGCCACGAGAACAAGCAGATATGTCTTGAAGAAGGTGCAGCCAGAGTGCTCTTTGGAGGCAAGAATGACGAGGCTTCACCTCACGTACTTTGAACATGTTGCTGGGAGGTGCTATTCTTTGAAGAAGCACATGCTGCTGGGAAGGGTGGAGAACTGGCAAAGGAGAGGAAGATGCCCAACCAGGTCGATCTGCACAGTGACTGTTGCAATGGGCTCTTATGTGTCAGGAAGTGTGAGGATGGCGCAGGATAGAACAGGGTTCAGATCTTTTGTTCCTAGGGTCACCATGAGTCATGCTTGACTCGATGGCACCTAACCACAACTGTGCCTGTGACAAAGATTTATCTTTGCCTTTAAGGAGCGCTCCGGCTGCACTTTCTCCAAGACATATCTGTTCTTGGGCAGTCCATGGGATAATCAGTACTCCTCAACCTTCAATGAGATGGGATGACACGTGACTGCAGCAGTGAGTTCAGGTGTGTCAGAGACGGTGAGGAAGACACAGGATAGGACAGAGTTCAGAACTGTTGTTCACAGTCATATCTGACTTGACGTCACAAAACAAGAACAACAACAACAACTGTTTGAGCGCCCTGTTGCAGCACCTGTGTGAATCCTTCTCACTGACGGTCTTCTTCCTCTCTGACCATCTATTTTCCAAGTATGATGTCTTCCTCCAGGGACTGTTCTCTCCTGAGCACATCCATCCCCTCAAAATTCCTGTCCACCGGGAATCTCGGAGTACGACTTTATTGGAAAGAGTCTTTGAAGATGTCACCAAGTTGAGAGGAGGCCACACTGGAATAGAGTGATTTCTGAACTCAATGACTGATAACAAGAAGGACACAGGGACAGAGAGAAGATGACGTGATGATAGAGGCAGAGCAGAGAGTGAGGCAGCTACAAGCCAAGGATGGCTGGCCACCCCCAGAAGCCAGAGACAAGGAGGGCTTCCCCCGCCCTGGAGCCTGTGGAAGGCGGGCAGCACCAGACGACAGAGTGACGGGAGACTGACACAGAGCTGGGACTGGACCTGACCCTCAGGGAAATTACATGTGAGGAGCTCCAACACTGTGTCCCCATAGCCGTGACAGTATGGAGCAGAGGGCAGTGGTGGACAGACCCAGGAGGGGCCAGCAAACAAAGGGGTGAGTAGAGAGTGGGTTCTCCAGGTGGAGGGCTCTGTGGACAGTGTGGAAGTGGACAACAGCCTGTGTACACCACAGAGCTGAGGTGCAGGGCGAGGAGTGGAGGTGACCACACAGCGAGGGAGACCCCCGGGGTAGGCATCACGTGATTGCATCTGGCAAACCGGCCCCCTCCTTGTCCACTCAGGTCTGGGGATCTCACGAGCCTGAGACTTCATCATCTGATGAATGCCTGACCACCACCACTGAGTAATGCCCACCTAAAGCCAGCATCCGTGGATTTGGAGGCTGTAAATCTCTCCTGCAGGACACTGGTGGACAAACCACCAACTCTTCAATGCTCAGCCACACATGACACATTACACACCCACCACCAGAGCTTGAGGAACGCTTTAGGATCTGGTCAAGATGCTCCTACATGAGACAGAACATTCTAGAGAAACAGTCCTGTCCTTTCACTCCCCCATCCCCCCCAGACACAGGAGGCACCCCCACCTGCCTGCCTCCTGTGCACACGGGGAGACCCTGAGCTAGGAGCGGAAGCGGGTGGTCTCCGGGACAGCCTCAGGCAGGAGTGAGGGCGAACACAGGAAAGCCCTAATCCTGGGAGGTGCACGCAGGTGCTGAGAGGCGGGGGAAGCCGCAGAGTCCCCTAATCCCCACCAGGCTACCCTCTTCCGTGGGCCCCTCACATCGGGGACACGTCACACCTGGGGCTCTCTTGCCTGGGCTGCCTCTGTGGTCTGAGGGTAGACGGCGGTCCCCTCACCCTGCTGGCCTTTCTAGGTGCATGGGGACACAGAGAGCTGGCCGAGGAGACGGGGGTCGGGGGGGAGGGCTGGACGGGAGACTGGATGGGGAGTGTTGTACCCTGGTAGCACTGTGGGTAAAGCATCCACCTGCTAACCAAAAGGTCGCCAGTTTGACCTCCACAGGAGGAAGGGGAGGTGGGCGGCTTCCACAGAGGACAGACAGCGTGGCCTCCCTGAGGGCAGTTCCACTCTGTCCCCCAGGGTCCAGACCAATCAGCCAGCAGTGGGCTTGGCTTTGGTTTTTAGGGATGTTGAAGCCAAGGGTCCCATTCCTACTTCCTGTTTCTGCTCAACTGAGGACACCTTGCCCCGTGACCTTGGGCAGAAGGTTCTAGAATGTGCTACCTGCCGGGCACTTGGATGGGGAAACCATGGCTGCCCCACTGCCCACAGCAGTCCACTGGGAAACAGAGCTCACACACAGCCAGGAAAGCTCACGGCAGCACGCATGACCTCTTACGTGCCAACACAGCCTGGCCTCAGGTTGCGGGCCAGGGACGGATCCCTCCACCATCCTGGGGGCCCACCACCCTAGTCCACCAAACGCTAAAGTCCTGGAACATCGCTATGTAACATCCATCCCTACTGGGGACGAGCGTCCAGTCAGAGGGTAAAGGAGAAAGTTCTAGAAGCGACTTTAGAGTAGCTGTCTCCTCTCCATCCACAGGCATGTGGAATATCACAGCTGAAGCCTATGTCTCCAGGCCAGAAGACCGCTGACCCTCGCCTCATCCTTGGGCTGGGTCTGGGGGATCTGAGCAGCCAACATGAGGACGTGGTGGGCCCTGCAGAGAGGCCCCTGAGGACAGGGAGGTCAGAGTGCGGTGTGGCCAGTGGCCAGTTCCCTCCCTGTCTTGTCACCGCATGTCCTGGGAGGATGTTCTAGCCAGTTACTGCTCCATGGTCACAGAGCACAGGAATACTCTGTGGTGAGAGGAACAACCAGGTAGGACGAAAAAGATTGACTGTGGTGGGTAGGGGACAGCTTATGAGGGGTGCAGAGTTCCTCTGGGGGAGCCCCAGGCAGCACCCCAGAAGAGAAAATGCAGAGCAGCTGAAGTGGAGGTGAGACTCTGGACCATGGAGTCTGGAGGAAGAGGTTCAGATCACAGCAAAGCCATTCCGGGCATCGCGATGCAGAAGCCAACAAGCTGGACACACGCTGGACAAGGTGCTTGTAGCCGAGGGCAGACACAGCAATATCGCTGGCACCTCAGCTGTCCAGTGCTGCCCGACAGGGGCGCCCAGCAAGTGGCTTTAGCAAACAGCAATGAGGTTCCCCTGCAGCTCAGGAAGCGAATAACCCAATACAGAGTGCGCTCGGGAGGGAGGGAGGCAGGAGGGTCTTCTACCGACTCTGGGGAAGGTCCAAGTCTCAGCTGTCCCTGAGCGACCTCCTGGGCCAGGGAACTCCCTGCCCCTCCCGGCTCTGAGTCCCTCTCCTATTTATTCAATCTTTATTATTATTATTATTTAATTTTTAAATTAGTTTGCTTACAAAGTTTGTATACACTGTGTTCACACTATTCTTCAGTCACATTGTGAGTCATACAATCATTCTCACGCATTATGTTTTACAAATCTAGTCACCACTGGACCTTGCCCATCACGACCCTGTTATTCAATCACTTTTCCATCTCAAAAAAGGTGGACTCGAGAGGGGCCCTCCATTAATCCCGCCTCATTAACTTAACAAAGACGACCCCTTCCCAACGGGGACCACAGGCAGAGAGGTCAGGCCTGACCAGTCCTGGGGGGACACCATTCAATCCACACCCTCTGGCCCTGTTAGCCACCAGATGAGACACCTCAGAGGGCCTGCAAAGGAACATCTTCTGTGTCTTGAAGCTGCAGGCCACCCGCTGGCAACACCCGTCCCCCAATTCAGGGTGGCATCCCCCACCCCCACCCCTGGGCAACAGGCCAGCATCACCCCCCTCAGCACAGAGCTGGGTCAGTCACACCGGACCCTTAGCAGATGTCAATTCCCAAATGATCTTCTCTTAAGGTAGGAGCTCTGAGGGTGCATTGGTTAAGCGGTCAACTGCTAACCACGCAGGTCAGTGGTTCGGACCCACCAGCCACTCCATGGGAGAAGGTGGGAGCACGTACTTCTGTAAAGACGGCAGGGCCTTGGGGACCCAATGGGGCACAGGGTCACAGGGAGTGTGGACCCCGAGCCGACAGTGAAGGTTTAAATGTCTCCAGGCAGAGCCCCAGGCCACGCGGGCGGGGCGGACATCCTACCTTGTTGTAGTACTGCACCTGCACCGAGTGCCAGCGCCCGTCACTCACGCCGCCGGGCACCTGCGGGGCCACGGTCGTGGTGGTCTCACCTGCAGGGGCAAGGCCAGGGAGAAACAAAGGTCATGGCTGGTCGGTGGCCAAAGGTCTGACCGTGAGGGCCAGGGAAGGGCAGGTGCGTGAGGCTGTGCCCTCCACTCCTCTCTCCATCCGCACCTGAGGGCATGACCCCAGCCGTGAAGGATGCGGGGAGCTGGCAGGGAAAGAGGGGCTCCCCGCAGCCCTGGGCGTTGGAAGGTTACCTGCCCACAGGGCACACTCCCACTGAACAGCCTTCAGCCTCAACAGTTAGGAGCCGTTCCAGGGGCCCAGGGTCAACAAGAAGGAGGGTGAGGGGTGGAGAGGCAACACGGAGCACTACTGGTCCCCCATCACCACCTCTCAACCCCTCGCTGCAATTTTAGCTCTTACGGCCACACCTTGGTGAGGGAATGTCCTTCAGACACTGTGTGGACAGACAAAACCCAGCCTACCCAACGGGCTCCCGCTTCCGGGGATCCCTGCACTCATCCCAAGCACAGCCCTTGTGTTCTCACAGTCACTATGACGTCACATCCTGCACATCTGTCCCCATGCTCTCAACAATCAAGATGACGTCACATTCTGCACATCTGTCCCCATGCTCTCAGCAGTCACCGTGATGGGACACAGCACAACCATCTCCGTGCTTTAAACAGCCACTATGACATCATGCCAGACACCTGCCCCATTCTAACTAGTCACTATGATGTCACACTGGACAGCTGCCTCCACTCTAAACAGCCACTATGACGTCACACCAGACACATGCCCCCACTCTAAACAGCCACTATGATGTCATACTGGACACCTGCCCCCACTCTACACAGTCACTATGACGTCACACTGGACACCTGCCCCCACTCTAACCACTCACTATGACATCACACCAGACACCTGTTCCCCACTAAACAGCCACTATGATGTCACACCGGACAGCTGCCCCCATTCTAAACAGCCGCTATGACATCATGCTGGACATCTTTCTCTGTGCATTCCAGTGACTGTGGCATCACACAGCACATCCCACTACCCTGTGCATCTCTCTGGGGTACTGATGCCACTTCTACGCCTCATCACCCGTGTCACTCGGCTGCCAGCCCACTGCTGCTGCATTGCACCCACTGCTGGTGACCCCGGAGGACAGGGGAGAGCGGCCCCCACTGCGCTCCCAAGGCTGGGAGGTTGCAGAAGCTGACTGCTACAGCTTTTCCTCAGAGCAGCTGGTGCGTTTGAACTGCCAACCTTTTGCTCTGCAGCTGAATGTTAATCAACCACCAGGAATCCTTGCTGGTCTTACAGGCAGGTGTGGTTTTCAGATCCCGTCAAGGGTCCTGTGACGCTGTGGTAAACGCACTGGGGATGGCAGCTTCAGGTGCAACAAAGGCAGGACCAGCTGACGCCCCAGACTCAAGGGTCTGCAGGCGGGGTCTGGGAGCAGGCACCACCCAGTTCACCACTCCCGGGAGTCCTGACGGACCCCTGGAGACCCAGCTGCAGCCCCCCACCAAGGCCCCTTCACTGCAGCACGACTGTCCATGGCATGACCACCAAGCAGCGGTCTGAGGCAGTCGGCAGTGCAGGTCACCTTACTCGTGTCACCTCAGGACTGTTTACTCTCCGACTGACAGACTGAGGACAGAGGGTTAAAACGCATTCCTTCCTCTTCTGCTGCACCTTCATCTGGGGCCCCTGCACTTGGCTCAAACCCCAATGCCTGCCTAGGGCCTCATTCCAGCTCGGATCCAAAGCTCAAACACTCAGGTGACGGTGCCCTGGAGCCGTCTCTGAGCTCTGCCAGCTGCAGGGAGCAGAGGCAGGGGCATGCCACCCTCATCCAGCTGGGATCTGCTGGCCAGTGGGAGTGACCCCTAAAAATGGTGAGCACTGGGCCCCTGGCGGGACGGCTGATACCCACACACACAGGGGGATCCCAGCATTCCTTCAGGGGAGTAGCGCGTCTGAAGGCACCGTGCAGGACTGGAGTGGTTCTGCGGATGGGGTGCCGGATGACGGTGGGGAGTACCTACCTGCCGAGAACACGAGCTGCACCTGCTCGTCAACCACCTCCAGGGCGATGAAGTCGTGCTTCTCATTGAAACGGCCATTGTACAGTAGCAGTGCGTTCCTTTCCTGGGTGGCAAACCTGCGGACAGAGAAGACCCGTGTCAGGATGGAAGAAAGCAGGTGGGGGCACCATGGGGTGGGGGGCAGCCACGGAGTGGGAGGCAGCCCAGTGACAGCAGAGACAACATGGGGCTGCGCTTGGAAGCCAGCAAGTCACAACCCCAATTGTTGTTATGGGCCGTCAAGTCAACTACGACTCAGTGAACCTATAAACAGCAGCTCTGAGCCCTGCCCTGTCCCGAGCCAACCTCGTCATTTCAGATACAACTACCCCTAGAACCCCAGTCACTGTGTCAATCATCTCATCGGGGTCTTCCTCTCGTGTTGACCCTCTGACCTTCCAAGCATGACTTCCTTCTCCAAGGACTGGTCCCTCCTGGCAACATGTCCAAAGTACGTGAGACAGAGCTTCAAAATCCTTGCCTCCCAGGAGCAACCTGGTTTTACTCTCTTCAGGACAGACCTGTTTGTTCTCTTGACGGTGAATGGTTATGTTTAATACTCTTCTCCAGCACCACAACTCAAAGGCATTCATTCTTTTCCTGTCATCCTTAGTCACTGTCCACCTCTCTGATGCACAGCAAGTAATTGAGAAGACCATGGCCTGGATCAGGCGCACCTTAGTCTCTAGATTGACATTGTTGCCCACTGTTGCAGCCAGTGTTGGTTCACCTGGTCGAGGGTCTTCCTCTCTCTCACAGACCATCCACCTGACCCAGCATGGTGCCCTTTTCCAAGGATTTGCCCTCCCGACAGCATGCCCAAAGTCCGCGAGATGATGCCTTGCCGTCCTGGTATCTGAGGAGTGTTCCGGCTGACATCCTGGGTTCGTGCAGGTTCTTACTAATAAATGAATACATGCAGGCGTCAAGGAGGGACAGATGCAGGAAACAAACACATGGGCAGGACTCGAAGCACTCCGAGAGAAAAAAGCTCATCACTCTGACAACACAGACACGCACCCTTGGAAATCTGCTTCCTGCCCCACTGTTGTTTTTAGGTGCCATCGAGTTGACTGTAACCGTATGAGCGACAGATCTGAACCTGTCCTGTCCTGTGCCATCCTCATCACCTGACACACCTGAGTCCATTGCTGTGGCCAGTTGATCTTGTTGAGGGTCTTTCACTCTTCCTCCGACCCTCCACCCATCACAGCATGATGTCCCTTTCCAAGGACTGACCTCTCCTGACCACATGCTCAAAGGATGCGAGGTGGAATTTCACTAACTCTGCCTCCAAACAGCACCCTGGTTTCACTTTCTCCAAGATAGATCTGATCCCAAGGAAAACGCATCAGCCAGGAGGCCAGGCCGGAGGAGGAGGGCAGGGGTGGAACAGTGCAGACAGACAGGGGACCAGGGTAAGAAGGGGGACGAGGGAAAGGGGGTGAGGGGACAGGCAGGAGGAGGAGGGCAAAGGTGGAACAGTGCAGACAGACAGGGGACCAGGGTAAGAAGGGGGGAAGAGCGAGAGCAGGGGGGCTGAGGGTCAGGCAGGAGGAGGAGGGCAGGGCTGGAAGAGTGCAGACAGACAGGGGACCAGGGTAGGAAGGGGGGACGAGGGAAAGGGGGTGAGGGGACAGGCAGGAGGAGGAGGACAGGGGTGGAACAGTGCAGACAGACAGGGGACCGGGTAGGAAGGGGGGGATGAGGGAGAGCAGGGGGTGCTGGACAAATGGCCCAGAGGTCCCAACTGAATCTGAAATAGAAGAGATGACAGAGAGAGGAGCATGAGGACCACAGGAGCCAAGGAGGAGTCCGGCTTGTGCTCCGGCCACTCCAGGCAGGACCACAGCGTGCCCGGCATTCGGGGACTGGGTCTACCTGCAACCACAGCCCCAAAGCCCAAGCGGTTCTTCTGTGAAAACGGAGCCTCTTCATGGCTTTGCTCTGGAAGTCAAGCTTTAGGAAAGACCCACTGACTTAGCTCCAATCCATCAGCATCTTCCTGCCCCAAGAGAATCACCCCACAATGGGCAGATGTCATGTTCCCAACGACCTCAGCATGCAGACACACCGCTACATCACACGGGCACTGGTAAGAAGCTACACTGCAATCCCAAAGGCTGCGGTTTGAATCCACCAGCTGCTCCATGGGAGAAAGATGGGGAATCCCCTCCAGTGTTTCCTGAGGCCTCTGAAAACCCGCTGGAAGGTCAGCTATGAGCTGGTTCTCAGTGTCCCTGCTTTCTCCACGAGAGCACCCGGTCTGTCACCCTGTGGGGCCCGCGTGTGGCGGGGCGCCGGAAGCCAGGCCCCAGTATTTCAGATCCCTGAGGAATCACCTCTGGGGCACAGGTCCCCTGGAAGTTGCAGGCTGAGACAGAGCAGGAAGAAGGCCTGGCGTCCTACTTCTGAGGAAACTGGCCCGTGAAGACCCTTTCCAGGTTGGGCATCATCTGATAAGGTGCTGGGAGAGAGATGCCCTGTCAGGTGTAGCGGTTCCTGAAACACGATGGATTCACAGTGGTGGCAACAGTGAGTTCAGCACCACCCAGGACCAGGCAGCGTCTCATCCTGCGACACCTCGGGTCACTACGTGTCAGGACCGCCTTGACAGCATTCTAGTGTCTCTGTTCTGGGCCCAGGGGGCTGTCTCTGACGGCTCCAGTCCAGGGCGCTGCCTTTGGCACTGGGCTTCCGTCACTCGCTCAGGTCAGCCTCCGCCGGAACTCTGCCCACAGCTGACGAGCAAGCTGCAGTCAGCGCCCACGTGACCGCGGGCTGTGGACGCTCAGGGCAGCGGTGACGACAACTGCACATGTGCCAACATCACACGGCCAGAGTGAAGGTCCATCATCTGCTGTGTGACACAGCCCTGCAGGCCCAGGCCTCTCAGCCACAGGAGTGGGGCCCAGTGCTTTCAACCACGAGCCACTGAGGCGCCGAGGGGTCCTGCGGGCAGTGGGAGCTCCCACGGGCCTGTCCACAGGTGGTCTCTGGGTGGAGGGGCCTGGTACTGAGAGTGGGCAGGGGCCTACCATCCAGGCCGGGCCACTGGGCTCGGGGCTCGATGGTGCTGAAGGTGAACCCTTGTTACAGGTGAAGGTGTGAGGAGCGAAGCAGCAACCAGATGCAGCGGACACCTCCTGGGCTCTCCCAGCTCTCCCGGCAAATTCCTGGGACGCAGCATTGATTCCCCATCAGCCTACCACGACAGCCCTCAACGGGGTGACAATCAGAGCGGCTTAAACCCACAGCCATTCACTCTCTCTCAGTTCTAGCGCTTTCCATTGTTGTTAAGGGCTCTTGAGTTGCTTCCAGCTCACAGCGACTCCATGTACGACAGCACACAACTCTGCCTTCCTGCGCCATCCAAGCCATGTCTGCGCTCACGTGTAGCCCCTGTGCCATCGTCTCGTTGAAGGTCTCCCTCTCTCTCTCTCTCTCTCTGCCTCTACTCCTCCAGGCACGATGTCTTCTCTGGGACCTGGCGCCTGCTGGTAACATGCTCACTGCGCGGGAGAGGTCTCCCCTCCTTGCCTTGAGGAGCCTCTCGTCTGCACTTCTCCAGCAGACTCCTCCTTCCTTTTGGCAGTCCGCACTGGCTGTGGCATCAGGCCGGCTCTCAGCTGACCCTCCTGTGGTCCTCTGAGGCTGTAAGTCGCACCGGAGGAGACTGCCTATCTTTCTCCTCTGGGGCTACAGGTGGATTCGAACCGCCAAAGAGGAGCAGCCTTTGTGTTACAACTCCCCCCAGACGCTGCCACCAGGGCTCCTCGGAAGTTCACAGTCGAGTCAACATTCTTCTCCAACAGCACAAACCAAAGTCCCCAGGTTCACTTCAGTCTTCCTTGTTCACCACCACGTGCACAGGGAAATCTGAAAACACCGTGGCCTGAGTCAGCCGCACCTCAGCCCTCTCAGTGACTGCTCAGCTTTTTACTACTTTAAAGTCTTGGAGCCCAAGGCCCAGTTCCGGGAGGCAGCATTTTCTCCTCTGCCCCCAGGGGGGACCTCGTCCTTGTCTCTCTCAGCTCCTGGTCGAGTTCCTCAGTTTGTGGGGGCGATCCTGCGTCTCTGCCTCCTCCTTCACTAGGCCACGATCCCTCTGGGTCTGTCCTCTGCAGGACACTGGACATACTATACCCTCATCTTCAGCCATCACCCTCCAGTGATGCTTTCCACCCCAGCGCACACGCTGAGGTCCCAGGGCTACAATGTCAATATAACTTAGGATGTGGGTGCCCATTTCACAGAGGAAAAGGTAGAGGCACAGAGAGGAGAGGCAGCCTGCCCATTGGCAGAGAGAAAGGAGTGGGGCTGTGGCCTCAAGGATGCGCTCAGTGTGAAGACTGGGCTTGTCGGGGAGTGAGCTCTACCCACCGTGGTCAGGAAAACACCAGGTCTGATCTTTGAGGGGTCAGTGAGGTGGGTAGAATGCTAGCCTTGCTGGCCAGGACATCTGAGGACAGTGGCCAGAGGGCAGGGAGTGGACATATCACCCTTTCATGGGTTGGGCCAGGCAGGCTTCCTGAAGGAAGAGGCAGGCAGCCAGGGCGGAAGTGACATTCCAGGCAGAGGAAATGACTGTGCAAAGGCTGAGGGAATGACCAGGTACAGAGAATGTGAGGGGGTCAGGGGCCACACCACAGTGCCCAAGGGGCAGGAAATGGGAGGGAGTATAAAGGGGTCCAACCATGAAGTGCCTGATGCTCTGTGGAGCGGTGTGCCTGGCCAGCAGGTTGCAGTTCAGCCAGACACAGGCTTGGGGCAGACAAGACTGGAGCCTGTCACGCCAGGTGTCCATCAGGGGCCACAGGTGAGAGGCAAGGGAGGCCTGAGGGCAGGGCACTGGGACAGGCAGCACCAAGGACATGAGCACAGGAGGAGGCTCCCCGGGCACAGCAGAGGGCAGGGGTGTGAAGGCCGGGCCAACTGCACAGCTGGGTGGGCAGTGGAGGGATGAGTGAGGCCCAGGACGAGGCCAGGTGAGGAGCGGCCAGGGTTCCCCCTCACCTGCCCGGAGAGAGAAGCTGGTCACAGGAGCTAAACCTTCGTGAGGTGAGAAAAGTCAAGG